TTTAATCTAAATTATATAAAAATCTTATTTTTTTAACCATATGCAAACATCAGATGATTTTGAAGTTATGTTGATCAGAAAATCAAATGAAGTTTAAATTATTTATATGATGAATAATAATTTCCTTAAGAAAGAAAATATATAAACCTGTGGACAATACATGAAATTTGTAAAACATAATCTAACTGAAGATAATATTTGCTGGAGATGTTTGAATTCCAGGGATTCCGTTTATAAAGGGGGTTTCAATGCTAGAAGGAAGCCTTTTTAAATATTTAAATGCAGAGTTCCTAAGTGTTTTTAAAGTTATTATTAGATCGAGCGAGAGACAACCCCAATTTTCAATTATAATAACTTCAGTCTTTCCAAATCAACAGTGATTAAAATAATCAGTAAATTAAAAGGAAAAAATGGTTAATGTGATTACTCTAATAATAAACTAGGAGATATAAACAAAGTTGTACAGGTTGATGAAACGATGATATACATTAAATGTAAATGTCATCAGAGAAGGTCGCCTCACAACCAAACAGATGCTACTTCAATTGTTAAGATTGAGAATAATAGTACACGAGCTTTCATTAGAGTGGTGATAAATAAAAAATCTGAAATCTTGGTATCTATTATATGCGAAAACGTGATCAATGGAAGTATTATTTACACAGATGAACATAAAGGCTATTTTAAATTAGGAAAATTTGGGTTCTTACATAAATCTGTATGCCATAAATACAATTTTGTTAATCCTATTAATGGTGTGCATACCCAACACGTAGAATCATTTCACAATGAAATTAATTGCAAATACAAAGAAGAAAAGGCATAAAGACAGAGGAAATACAAGAATTTTTAAATGAATTTTGCTGGTTTTTTAACAATTAAGACTTTCGTTTGGAGAGATTATTATAAATGATTAAAATTTAATTAACTAGTTCTCTAATTGAATACATTTCTATATATATTTTTAATAATTTTTGATTTAATAATATTTTTTTGTGGCAGGATTTTATACTAGATCTAGTTCGGGCAATATTTTATACCTGATCCAAAAATACCAAACCACGCTTGATGAATATTTTCTTCTCCAAAAAATAATTAAATAATAATATAAAAATATTTTTAAATTTTTAAATGTTAAGCGGGAAACTTGGTTAATCGGGACTGATTTTCTTGGTCCCTTGAATTTCCCGCTTAACGAAGTTTCACTGTAATTCTTTTTTTAAAAAAAAATTAACTAAAAGTGAGGGGGTTTGGACATCGCTGACACAAAGATACCTGTTGTCGGCCATGGAGCCTAGAGGACAACAGACTAATATTTAAAATTTATTTTGTAGATAAAATTTAATATTGCATTATTATTTGTTGATCAACTATTTTAATCATTAAAATAAACTAAGATTTAAATTCTGTTCTTAAATATGGTTTTTACCGAAAATTATTAAAAAATACGTTTTACTGGTTTGACATTAATTTGTTCGTTTTCTATTTAATTAATCAAAAACGTTGTTCGTTAAAGAATTTTTTAATGAAATAATGTCAATATTTATCAAAAAGAAAAACAAATTCTAAACTAAATATCTAAAAAACAGATGATTCATAATTCATTTATAAAAATTTGAATGGTATTTTTATTCAAAATATTCCTTCTTGTTCCTTCTCTCTATTATTAAATCTTTGTCAATTTTTTTTTCATTTTCTGTTGTCATGCAAATATTTTCTCTACTAATACCTTTAACTTTTTTAAATTGATGTAAGAATTCTAGGAATTTTATTGCATTCATTTCATCTATACTTTGGTTTGTAATAAACTTTACTAATTCGTTCATTAGAAACTCATAATTATCAAAGGAATTAGCTCCATTTCCGCATACTGTTAAAGCAAAGCCGTTAATTTCTTTATTAAAAACCTCGGATTTATCGATTGTATTATCTATAATTATGTAAATAAAATTCTTAGAAGAATTTAAAATCTTTCCAGAATGTTTAAATTGGAAAAAGAAAAATACAATTTCTTTTAAAAGCAAACAATTGATGTTTCTTAATCGCATCCTTTGAAAAAAATAAAACAGAAATACAACCAACTTATCTTTTGTCGTTTCATATCTCTTTATATATTTATTCTCACTCGAAGTTATAACTTTTGATGGAATATTTTCATCTTTAGAACCCTGTAAAACATCATGCAAAAGCATGAAGTCGGAATTGGGAAAGACTCCATCGTCTTCAGCATAAAAAAAAGATATAAGTCACATTCTATTTGTAGAAATTCTTGGCTCCTTTTTAAATCTAGCTCCATATGTTTTTCAAGTTCTATAAAATCCTCTCTAATTAGTTTCTCTTTTCTTTTCTGTGAAACAGTATAAAACATTTTAATATGGTCTTTAAAAAGCTCTCTATGCTTTGCAAATAGTACAGCTTTTAAATATTCTATATCATGATGAAAATAGAATGTTCTTAGGGATTTAAATTGATACAATATAACATTAGTTTTCTCTGTACTTCTCATCATACTATCTCCATCCCTGAGACATAAATCAGTACTTAACTCTGTCTGATTTTCTACATCAGCATCAGTGTAAATTTCTATAGCTTCATCGTTTTTGATAGTTGAAATATTTTTATTTTTTCTACGTTTCTTTCTTTTTTTATTTTTCTGATGAATTTTACATCCTTGTTCATTTGCTCCTAATACAGCTGTATCCAAATCATCATGTGATAAATTTGCTTCTTCTGGTCCATCAGATTCTTCATCTTTTTGTTTCACCTCTTCTACTTCAAGCAACTCATATCTATTGGTAGCAGTAATCTGATTTGAATTATTTGCTTCTACTGAAAAATCTTTCACTAATTGGGAAAATTTCCCTTCTGATTTCCTAGAATTTTGTTTTTCTGGAAGACTTTTTGTTACAGTTTCCTCGGATGTGTATCTTTTAAATGTATTTTTAGTCAAAGGAGTTTTTACTGTTGTATTTACAGGAATTTTTCTAAGGCTTATTGGTTTACCTTTTCTAGTTTGAGAATTTTGTGTTTTATGATTGCTTGGGGTTACGGGATTCAAATTCGGCATTTTTGTTAGTTTTACCACATCACTGTATTTTAAAAGAATAGGTTTTAAATTTTCATTATGGGTGCGTGCTTCATTATTTAACCTCTTTTCTTTATTTACTTGCACACCATCTTGTAACGCT